TTAATCCATCTGTTAGGTGAAGAAGATATTTCATATGCAGCAATTTAATAAAATTTCTCCGAGTACGAGGTGCACGATAAATTGAAATGTCCATTTCGTAAACAGATTACACGCATTGTAACAATTCCACAAATTGCTCGAGTTATCGCTGTCACTGTATCACGTACGAAGCGAAAGTTCTCGAGTAAATTGTCAAGATTGCCACGTCACTTCTTTTCATATTTATCTTTATCAAGAATTCCTCACGTTGTACTAATTCTGACTAAACGTATTGTCAACTGATCGTTTATTTCACTGTTGAATATACAAACACTATTTACTGGATTGTAGCCAATTTCGTAATAAATGTGTGCGTTTGTAAGTGCTGATGAAATGACTCGATTATACTGAAAAATGCCGACTAGGCGCGGATCCAGCTGGCGTTAATACCTATCAGAGATTAGATAAGTTCTTGTACATAATCGATATCTTCGTGATATGCCCTGCTTTAAACATTTACGCGTAAGTTTAACTTGAACGGTGAGGATCGTCATGAGCTTTGATACCGTCAGAAAAGTAAATTCATGAATGTTTGACGTGCCAATCTTGGTCAAAGTGCAGTACAGATATGTTATAATATATCTATTTTTATTTTTAAATCTTTTTATTAGGAAATACTGTATTTATTTTTCCAAATATTATTAGACGTTTATATAAATGTTAAAACTTGGTTTCTCGTTTCTCCGTAAACTATACGTTATTTCACTGGAATTTAGAGTACGTTTCCCTTCAATATTTGTCGAGATTTCAGCTATCGAAATCGACAAAAGATATTATTAACTTGAATCGGTTTTCCCGATAAAACGTTATTTGCCATCGGAAATCGCTTGCTCGATTTCCACACATTTATAAGAAAGTAGCAAGGAAACATTTCTAACTCGCTACAAATCGTCAGTCACAACTGCCGATAACCGATTGGCTTCCTTGCGAGCCGCGTAACGCCAGTGACGAGCTTGACGATCCCCATGGTTAAACGCATTGCACGACATACTAAACGACTAACGGAATGATAAAGACGCGGCACTACGACCGTTACCCAATCGCCCTCCTTTCTTTCTCTCTACACGCATTAACGTACGCGTTAATGAATTTCGCAATCTGATTGAACTCCGCATTGTTCACGTGGTACACTTCTTTGTACAGTTATCGCGGAAGCATTGGTGAATTACGGAGACAGCAAGCAAAACGAAGTTTTGTTTCCATTGTCGAAGTTCATTATTTTACCCGTGGAAGAAATATAGTTT